TACTAAAGCTGGCTTACAAGGAGACACAGAACTGAGGGAGACGCAGACATAAATACACCGAAGGAGCACACAGGGAACACAGCTGATACTGATAATCTTAACGAGACAGGGCAGGAGGAAACACAACGTGACGCACACTGACAAGTGACTATCAAAATAAAACAGGAAGCACAGAGACGCAGACCAGAGAGGAAGAGCACAGACATACCAGGCTGGGAAAATATAGAATAAAAGACAGGAAGAGAAACGAGGCATACACACAGGGGGTAACGACACAAGGGGGAATCTGATAAACGACACTGAACAACCATGAGACAAGAAAACAAGAAAACTAAGAACACAACCCAAGCAACAATGACCCAGAACCTAGTGATGGTCCGCTTGAAGCTGACGCTCCGGTGCGTGTGTCACAAAAATCAACACGCTGCTTCTGAAGCTCTGTGTCGAAGCTTGATTCACCAGAGTCACGTGATCAGTGACGTCCGAAGCTTCATTTAGAGCCTAACTGCTTCAGTGTCTGAGTCAATGGTTTATAAGGAAGTGAATCATTCACAGGATTTGTGGAGTGTTTTGATGGTGACAGATAACGAACCACTGATATTTCCACTGAGAGATTTGGAGCCAGCGAGGAAGAGAGGAGGTTCTGTTGTGTGGGAGGATTTTGAGTTGATTTTGGTCGATCGGGTGAGTTTTCCAGCTTTGTGTTCTGGCCGTTTGCTTTTGTTTTGTGCGTTTATTTTATCTGACAACGGGAAAAACTTCAAATGTCAAAAATCTGCTTCCATAATATAAATATCATTAAATAACTTTAGAAACACTTCCACGTGACTCTTTACACTTGATGTTATAAAAACATGTATTTAATTTTTTATTAATGTTAGTCTGCCAATTGTGCAGCAATTTAATTAATTAAAGACTGTATAACTGCATCTCTACCAGTTTCTCTGCACTGCAGCCTCCTCTGGGCCATGTGAAGGGATTTTGCTTAAGGCAGGAGAAATGATCTAAATATAAAAAAGGAACAGGTTCGGCCATCGCAGAGTGGAACAAGTTCTCTTCTTAAATAAAAATGAAAAAGTTACCTTAAATGCATCGTGTTTTTAATTTGCAAGTTCATGAGCATTTTCCTTTTCCAGTTCACAATCAATTCTACCCCCAGGTCACAAATATGTATAGGAAAATGTCCCTAATATAATATTATTTATAAATATATCCATCTAGCGATTAATTGCATAAGTACAAGGAGGCGGGACCTCACAGCAGAAGCATACTCCATAATATGTTTTACATTATTATGTTTAACGTGGTATTTTTCAATTATTCTATTTACTAACATCAAGAAGTCACAAGCAAAGAAAGACCACACTATGGTGCATATTTAAACAAGCAGAGTTTACTGGACAAAATTATCTATAATAGAAATAAACAACATTTTTGTCACCCCAAAAAATACACGTTTAAAGCAACACAACAGCGGCCCAATATCAGACAGAAGTCCACTCTGTAGAGTGGGCAATCATTACGAAGCAGTTGGTTTTATTTTGTGGATTCAAGCTGCTCTTCATATTTTTGGCCACCAGATGTCACCAGAGAGGACTGTGTTGGAAAGCTTCGAGTAATGAAGCGTTTTTCATCTGCCCATCACCACCAGAACCATCACATGATTTTCTCACCCAATAAAGGAATTTAACTAATTCAAAACAGGAGAAAATAGAAAAAAAAGAAACGTCAGCTCACCCCCACCCCCACCAGACTAATTCATGCACCATGACACGTTTGACTTTAAAGACAACGGGAGGAGACACATGACGGGCTGGGACAATGTACATGAACCCAACACAGACAGGAGAGACAGAATGATAACACGAGGGAGACGAGACCGACACAGAGGACAAGACAGACTCACACAGGAAACAAGCAAACACTGAAAGCTAACTAAGACACACTGACAGTGAACACTGGAACGTAACATTTGTCCCAGAGCAAAATAACCCCAAATGCAAAATAATCTCAAAATGCTGGGTCCCTGCATCCTGACAAACAGAGCACATCGTGACTGTTTCATGGTTTGCTGTGAGGTCATGAGGTCAGGCTGTAGCAGGATTATCAGTGGCTGGTGTATCTGACTTGTTTCAGTGTGATGGAGCATCAGAGAGCAGACTCTGCTGCTGCGTCTCGCTTCTGTTTCTGCATCTGTCGAGCTGCAAAACACACAAAGTAAACTTGGATGATGCTTTAATTCTTTATTTTATTGGAACACTTCTGCTGCAGATTTGCAAACATCTGTTACTGGTTCACTGTTCATGCTGTTTACTGGGAAAGCCTGACAGTCACAGAGACGTCCATCATCATAAACCTGCACATGTGCAGCTGCACAAACATCTGCACTGTCAAAGGAATATTGTTTTTATATAATGTGATCAGCTTCATGAAATGTATTCTTTTATTGATCACTAAGCAAATGTCTACGTGATGTGTGATAAACAACTAACAGCTTCCTCTTTCTGTAAGAACATATAGAATTAGAAAAAGGGGAACCTCAGCTCAGAGTTCTTAGAATAAGAAGCTATTTGAACGCACACACACACACACACACTCACGCGCACACACGCGCACACACAGACACACACACACACACACACACAAACACACACGCACACACACACAAACACACACACACACGCACACACACACAGACATACAGACAAGTATAAATAAAGAACGCAGACAGTGATGAGACGCAGGTCGTGTGTCCATGACTTCCCTCGCGAGTAAAGACAACTGCAGTGTTTGTGTTTTCTAACTCAGGTGTCTTAGCTGAAGAACTACGGGATGATTTAAAGCAATTCCCTGTCATGCACTAAAGCTGAATCATGTTACACCTCAGTGAGTCTGAAAACAGTGATGATGAGAGCACAGAGGCTCTTTGAGCTCATCCACCTTTCCTCCAGGTAACAGCAGTGATGCTGATCATGATGATTAAGTAGAGCAGTCCAATCAGTGTGCGGACAGTCATGTGCCACAGGTGATCAGCAGCTGGAGGACAAAGAAACATCTGGAATCAGAGCCTCATCCACCACCAGCTACAGTCAGACATCAGACAGTTATTCAGCTGTATGGAACAACACAACAAGACACAACACACGACACAACACACGACACTACACTCAAAAAAATGAAACGTTGACTTTAATTAAAATTATTTTGTCAACAGGTTCCACGAAATTGAATTATGTTAGTTTAAAGCAAAAATCTTTAGTTCATCTAATTTAAAAAAACTACTTAAGATTAACAAGACATATTTAAGACTAACTAAATCAAGTTATGTTGTATGAACAAAGATGATATATTTTCAGGTTAGATAGTTTAGATTAGTTACTTCAACACATTTCTTATTTGTGGCAGTAAAATGTTAAATTTAAGTTAGATTAATTCAAATATTATATTTTCAGCCACCTTGTGCTTTATTAATTAGTTTTACATAAATCTATTTTGTCAACAGGTTCCACACAAATGAATTAAGTACATCCAACTTATTTTTTAAAATTTATTTTATTGCCAACACATTCAGTGAGCATTTGTGTAAACCCAGTCCAAAATAAAACACAACAGCTCATTAGGGTTAGTAATTAACAGTATGTAGACAGATGCAACATCAAGACTTTAAATTAAATGTCTGTATCTACCAGAAATAGAAGAGAGAAAAAAAAACGCATTGAAGATCACATAACACATTGATAAGATGACACTTGAGTTATGCACATGTGATGCTAGTAAGGTCTGTGAGTGTTTTTTTCTTTTAGTGTCTAAAATGGATAGCAAAGTTGCTATTTGCAATGATTGCTTAGGGTCAGTCCAGTAACACAATGCCAATGAAGTGCTTTCCTTTAACAATGCAAAGTGAAGTGTCCACCTCAACAGCCACAATTTAAAAAAATTTATGTAACAACAACAACAACAACAACAACAACAACAACAAAAAAATAATAAATAGTCCACTGATATTAGCAATCAAAGAAAATTACATCACCATCCCAAATAAAACTTTAACAAAACATGGCAACATTATGGTCTAACAATAAAACAGCTTGTCAGCGTTCAGTTTTTTTGCAACAGCACAGCAGTAACCATTTAACACTTGCCACTGTCAACATTTATTTTACTAGTGTTTGGGCAAAAAACTTCAGATGTAAACATTTTAACATGGAAACAATTGTTCGTCTTTAAAAGTCCACAAAATATACATTCATCCTGCATTCCCAACTTGGATGATCTGATGTCCTCGTGTTGGTGTTGTTCCCAGACCATCATGAAAATGTTGTTCCAGGTTCAACATTGCAAGTGACCAATCACATTGTTGTGACGTTATTCTTTTGGGCGCCAAGCCATTCGTGCATTTATGAAATTCCAGTGTTGCAAGGACAATATCAATTCTGCTTACTGTTTATTAAAGGGTTACGGTCAGGGTCAGGGTCAGTTGATCGGCGGACAGAGGCGGTTTCTCGCAGCTTAAGTACAGTTTTTTGTTTTACGCCGGTTTTTCCCGAAGTCGCAAAAGTATGACGTCACAACATTCTGATTGGTCACTTGCAATGTTGATCCTGGAACAACATTTAGTATGATGATCTGGGAACAACACCAACACGAGGATATCAGATCAACCTCCTAACTTACCCTTATTTTTAGTATGTATTGCAATTACCTTTACAATGCACACAATGTAACACAAACTGAATATGAACATATTTCCACCTCATAACAATATGCCTTGAACGCTAATATACACACCACCCTTCAACATTTCTGGTGCAGTATCATCTCTCAATTAAATCCTTTAAATCTCAATACTTTTGATTGTCTCTTACTAGCCCCCCACAACAGTAAAATCTCTCAAATTGTAGTAGTTTACAAACTTTTCAAAATGTTCTAAATTTCTCTTAAATGTAATTTTCCCGTTATCTGTCATTTACAAATTACCATTTTATTCCCATTCAGCCTCCAAAAAACTTCTGTCCATCTGACAGAACATTCATCATCCAAATTAAAGGTTGGCTTATTCATTCAGTGTATTCTTGAGCAACTGTACCTTGGTCAAGAGTATGCTGACATACAGATGAAGGAAGAGCTTCTGAAGTACTTCAAAGAAAGCTTTCAGTCTTGAGGTTAACTGAGATTCAGTGCATATATCCCACCCATTAAGAGTGCACATGCAGAGGCCAGGTCTTCCAGGTCATGCAGGACACACTAGATGGTTATACCCACATCGGCTGGAGGAGTGCTGGCATCAGCTCTTTCGATGGTAAAGATAGCAAGGGTAATTTGTTCCAGCTCCCTCTGAACAGCTGTAGCTTAGACACAAAAACATAGAAAAATGGCATCCAGTTTTAAAAAAAGAAAGAAAAAGGGCCAAAGCTACCCTTTAATGACGTAAACACAATATTAGGAACATGCACCCCAGTGTGCCACTATTTCAGACTACAGATTCAACGATAAATATAAATAGTTTGGGTATACAAGAAGATTTCCCAAAACATTTAAACAGGTTCCATGCAAATTACAACAACAACAACATGCAACAACATTAGTTATTCAAAATTTGGTTTAATACAGATAAAAAACTAAACTAAAATTACCAACCAATTATTCTTTGAAGAGGATGCTTGGGTCTTCATTCAGGTAAAAAGGTAGTGCCCTGAGGACACACTCCCTCCCCTTTTCAATACTTTCCTTCTGTAGAGAGTGGCAGAGATACAGGAAGAGAAAACAGATATACTTTAGGATGACAGAAACTCACATTATACGCAAAATGAATGACATATCCACTGCACAGATAGACATGTACACAAGACCAACTAATCATCACATGGACATGAATAGTTAACCTGTTGGGCAGGGTTTCCACCACATTATATATGTCCATAATGGAGGTAAAGACAAACTAATACATCATCTTTTTTGCATTCAAAACATAACATAAAAACATTCACTTCTGGTTTAACCTAAATCAAGGGATCAGATTTTACATATGTTTAGGTAATTTAAATTTTCCAACGTTTTGAGTACCAAACTTTGTCTTGCTTAATATAAATGTAAGTGCACTGTGCAGCTACCATACACTAGCTGTTTAAATTTGAAAATGATCTTATTAGCCATAATATTTTGCTACCAACAGAATAACGCACCTGTGTGGCTGGGGCCAAAGTTTGTCTAATTTTCTTCCCTGCAACGCCTCCTTTTTTCTTGAAGACTTTTATGAGCTGGTCAGTGTATTGGTCAAGTTGTGTAAAAAGCCTTGGAACATGTGCAGCAGTAGTAATCCTCACATATTCTGCTTCCACCTGAAAATATGTCAACAAACACAACATACTGTACTGTAAATATACATACTATATGTACACATATACAAACTAAAACTAATGTAGTAAGACCTCATTAAAGCTATAATTTTAACACAAACATTTACACAAAATGCTAATGGAGCCATTACAGCTTTTATTGTTATTTATCAAGTTCCAAAAAATATTGATCACAGCTGATCTGAAAAGAATTTCATGCCTCAGGCCCTTGAACTGCAACCTTTACCATGGTTCAGATGTGGAGAAGAAATAACAGGGGCATGGGATGGGTCACAAAAGAAAACTTAACTTATAAAACAGTTTTGTTTTTAAAAGTATAACAGTTCACATACCACATACAAGCTCAGCAATACCACATACACCACATCAGTATAGGAGGGAGCAGGTAAAGGCAGGATCTGAGATTTATAAAGTAAAACAAGAAATTCATTACTTAATTTCAAGAAGCAAATTATTGTTTGAATTACAACTAAATAAAATACTACTCAGAAGAAAAGCAAGAGATTGACACTGCCATGTGCTAACTTTCTATAGAAGCAATTATCACCAGGTCTGTCGACCTCCATTGTCTGTCCACTCATATGTCTTGAATAATTTTATTAAAAAAATTAAGTGTGTACTTTCACAAACTGTAATTTATAACTACATTGATATGTATAACTCCGCTAGGAAACATGCTGTATTTACAGACCATTTTTACATAATACAGATTACTGATAGAGCAGAACAATGGTGTCACAGTAGCTTTCGCCCTTGACTTTTTGGATTTGAAATGTCACTTTATGCTATCCTTGCTATCCTATTCGATATTTCCGACTCTCGGATTACAGAGAAGGAATCCCAAGAAAGCAAATGGAAAAATAACCCCTTGAAAGAATAACCCCATGAACCCCTGTAGCTAATCCCTTAATAAAACAAAAAACAATAAAAATGTTTCTTACACAGTCCACAAAATAAGCATGTCCAGGACCCAGTAAAACTAATGTAAAACAAGCGCACGCAAACGATATAACATGTCTTGTAAGACAAACGCAAAATATAACCATGCTGGACATATAGATACTACACAACATAGTCAAAGAAAAAAGTGGTCTTACCTCTCAAAGAAACAGCAGCTTGGCGCCAAAACAGCCTTTTTCAGTTAAATTTGAAGTCTTGCGCATGAGCAGGCACAAGCCGTGAAACCTTCTTGTTCTGCGCGGTTTCATTACAACTGTTTTTGCATTACTGCTACCTTGTGGATATACAAGGTATATCGATCCTAATTGACTTAACTTAAATGTTATGCGATCAAGTAACACATTAGTATTATGTACGTTGAATAATAGACACAATTACGTAGACTTGATTAGAAAAACATATGTTAACTTAACAAAAACATATATTTTAAGTAAAATGAAAATAAATAATTAATATACACTGAACAATCCACCTCATTCATTTTTTTGAGTGTAGGCAACACTGTGAACAAAGCTGTTATTTTGGTTTGACTTTGTTTCTTTACGATGTTCATACCGGGGTTTTCCTGAGGAGATATTGTTGTTGTTGGTCTTGTTGTTGTTGTCGTTGGTCTTGTTGTTGTTGTCGGTCTTGTTTTCTTTCCTGTGTGGAAAAGTTAAAAGGTTTAATTCAAGGCAGACAGGACAAGACAGTTTAGTGTAAACCTTTAAAAGCTGAATGTAACAGGAGGAAAGTCACAGCGGTCCACAGCAACAACACAATGAGGTAAAGCCAACAGTGTTGTCAGTTTACAGCAGCTGAATGCATTATATCCTATAGAACTACAGAAGAAAAAAAGGCCACATCCTGTTTGTGTGATGAGTTAAAATGCTTTGACATGTCAAACAGAGACAGACCATCCAATCAGACATGAAATAACTGCTGCTGATGGAGGACATACAGAAACTTTCAACCTTATCATAGAATTTCATGGGACATCAGCTGCTTTCACTTTTCTTGATATTATGCAAAGAACACAACAACATTAAACAGATTTTAATAGCTAGTAAAACAGTCAGTGTGATGTAAAAAGTATTTTCCTGCATGAAAGGATCGCAGACATACTTGTACTCGACTCATCGGACCAGCATTTATTTATCAGAACAGCTTTACATTAATCCTGAGGTAGAGAAGAGGTCAAACAGCAGCCTGTCAGTGTGCTCGCTGTGGATGTTTCACTCCTGAACCACAGTGGAGACACAAGCTGATGGTCTCAGTCAGGCTGACACTAACAGGCTTCATGTTTGACGGTCAGAGGTTCATGTGTCTCACCTCTGTCAGATCTCTGTCCTTTGGTCACAGTCACATAAGCAGCTGGTTTCCCATCACAGTAGTACAGTCCAGAGTCAGCAGGCTCAGCTTCTCTTATTATTAATGTTTTGTCTCTACGGGAAAAATACATCCTTCCTTCATTTATTTCTCCAGAGTCTCGTCTCCATGTTGGACCAGCTGATCCTCCAACATCACCAGGACATTTCAGTAAGACGCTGCCTCTCTCTTCAACACGGCGTCTTATTGTTCCTGTGAATAACAAATGAATGTGTGACTACAAACTAAGATGCATTTTGTATAACGGACGAACACAAATTTTCTCATGTTGTTAGTTTCTTTTCAAAATCTAATTCTCAGAGAAACACTGTGCAGTAAAGCTTCAGCACACACTGTTGTGTTAGTGTTACTGTGTTTAGTTGGTGACACAGTTTTATTATTGCTCTTAATGATCGCCATGTGTTACACAGCTGTTATTGCAGCTAATACAAGACAGATCAGAAAACTGTTCACTGTTACAGAGGACAGTGAAATGTGTTTTATGGTAACATGTAAAACTTTTCATGTCTGTGTTTCGTGGCTGATGCAGGACTTCTGTATGAAAGCTCTTTGGCTACATCAGACAGGAGTTATGGGAGTTAATGCTACACAGAGGCGTCTCCAAAATCCAAACCAATACACACCAGCCATATGGAAAACAGGAATGTCAAATGTTGTACTGGGATTGGCCCTTATTTGTAATGATTATTGTCGCAGAGTTACTTTAATATTTGATGTGGTACTTTGTATTTTTACATTAAAAAGTTAACTTTATGTTAACCATGCTGACCACAGATGTGCTTGCAGTTAAAAACACGAGAGGTCAAAAAGCTAAACTAGTTCAGGGTTGTGTGGCAGCCTGTCACAGCTGACACAGACCAACAACCACCAGCACTCACACCTACGGCCAAGTTAGAGTCAGGACTTAACCTAAACTGTGCACGACTCTGCACTGTGGGAGGAACACAGAGGACCATGTGAGCACATGAAGAGCACGATAACTCCACACTGAAAGGCCTCAGACGGCCCGTGGATCTGACCCCACGGTTAGCCACAGTGCTAACAACCACACTGGTCTCATTTAAGACTAAAAATCACATTTTCAGCAGACATGCATGATTTTAAACAGGAAGGTAATAAAGTTTGATGTTACCTGATGGGATCACTGTCAGCTCCACAGCTGCTTCATGGTCACAGAAGTATCTGCCAGAGTCTGAGGGAGCAGCTCTGAGGATGATCAGAGACCCGTCAGCCCGCGAATCATATCGTTTCTGTGGATCATTGATGTGTTTTATGTTTCTTTCTCCATCAACAGTGAGTATGTCAGCTCTGCTTCCTCCACTCTCTCTGCTCCACCTCACTCCACCCTGTAGATAGTAAGGACAGCGCACAGTGAGCTGCGTCCCTTCTGTAACTACTTCACGGGTTAAACCTGCAAAACAAATAAAAAAATGAGCAAATAAAATGTATGTGTGGAAATAAAAGTTACAAAGAAAACAGAAATCTGAAAGGATGATAGAAAGATAATCATAGTCAGGATATGATGATGATATTTCATTATAAAAACTAAAATAAAAAACTGTTCATAAAAATTCTTTGGTCAAAATAATTTGTTAAACAAATGAAGGAGTTACGATAGAAATTTGTCTTCATGAAGTGTTTGTTAGTTTGAGCTACACTGACACCATAACTCGACTTCCTGTGATCGTGTGTCTGCTTCACACTCTGAACTCGTTTTCTATAATCGTGTGAAATCCCTGAAACTACAAACACCAACACAAATGCACATGTGTGAAAACTATAAAGTATATCAGACATTAATGCAAAGTGTCCCACCTGCTGTGGTATGACCGCTCAGAGCGCAGGCTAACAGGCAGCAGTAGATGTTCACCCACATCCTGACAGGCTGAAGTGTCTGAACTCACAGTGACCACCGTCTGTGTTTGAACAGAGAACAGGAAGTCAGCACCTCTGTGAACACGCCTGCTCTTCTATTTCTGAGGTTCTGTGGTCAGAGAACAGACGCTCGCTACAGTATAATAATCTGTTACACAGGTTTTAAAAATTGCAGTGAAAGAAAGTCAATTTAAAATGTTTACTTCTGTTAAGAAGCGGCAGCAAAACAGCCGCAGTACAAGAAAGGAGGGAGCGCTAATAGTGACCAGTAGAAAACCAGCACATTGAAATATGGTGCACATGATTTATTTCCTTCCTGAAGCAGACGAGGGTGGAGGTGGAGTTAGTGGTGCAAATGAGTTTGTAAATGAGATTAATAATCTTTTTCCTGTTTCTTGATTCAGGTTTTGTTGTTTGCTCTTATTTCTTGATGGTCGAGACTAACGAGGTTTTACAGGTGTGTGTAAAATATATAAAACCAGTGAGATTTTGACAACTGGAGATTTCTAAGATGGTACAATGGAGATGCCAGAAAATATGGTTACATTTATTTAATTATTTATTATGAAATGTGTGTGACTCATTTGACGGGTGAATGTACTGCAAAGATACTGCCCCTCTCCACAGTTTTATCTTCTTTATTTGTTTGGTGTGCTTAGCATTGTTGCTTTATGCATTCAGTTCTTTATTACTGCATTTGTGACCAGTGTTGGTCAAGTTACTTGAAAAAAGTAATCAGTAACTAATTACTGATTACTTCCCCGAAAAAGTAATCCCGTTACTTTACTGATTACTTATTTTCAAAAGTAATTAATTACTTAGTTACTTAGTTACTTTTTAAAAGCACGATTTACAACCTATACAACCGTTGTAAGAGCTTGGTTCGCATTGCCGGCAATAAGTCGGACTCGTTCCCGGTGGGTGATGGGCTCCGCCAGGGCTGCCCTTTGTCTCCGGTTCTGTTCATAATTTTTATGGACAGGATTTCTAGGCGCAGCCAAGTGGCGGAGGGCTTTCGCTTTGGTGGCCTCAGAATCTCATCTCTGATTTTTGCGGATGATGTGGTTCTGTTGGCTTCATCGGGTGAGGGCCTCCAGCTCGCACTGGAGCGGTTCGCAGCCGAGTGTGAAGCAGCGGGAATGAGGATCAGCACCTCCAAATCTGAGGCCATGGTTCTCAGCCGGAAAAGGGTGGAGTGCCCACTCCGGGTCGGGGATGAGTTCCTGCCCCAAGTGGAGGAGTTCAAGTATCTCGGGGTCTTGTTCGCGAGTGATGGGAGAAGGGAGCCGGAGATCGACAGACGGATTGGGGCTGCAGCTGCAGTAATGCGGACGTTGCACCGGTCCCTCGTGGTGAAGAGGGAGCTGAGTGTAAAAGCGAAGCTCTCAATTTACCGGTCGATCTACGTCCCTACCCTCACCTGTGGCCACGAGCTGTGGGTAGTGACCGAAAGAACGAGATCGCGGATACAAGCGGCAGAAATGAGCTTCCTCCGAAGGGTGGCTGGCCTCTCCCTTAGAGATAGGGTGAGAAGTTCGGCCATCCGGGAGGGGCTCAGAGTAGAGCCGCTGCTGCTCCACATCGAAAGGAGCCAGCTGAGGTGGTTCGGGCATCTGACAAGGATGCCCCCTGGGCGCCTCCTGGGTGAGGTGTTCCAGGCATGTCCCACCGGGAGGAGGCCCCGGGGCAGACCCAGGACACGCTGGAGAGATTATATCTCTCAGCTGGCCTGGGAACGCCTTGGTGTTCCCCCGGATAAGCTGGAGGAGGTGGCTGGGGAGACGGAGGTCTGGGCCTCTTTGCTTAGGCTGCTGCCCCCGCGACCCGACCCCGGACAAAGCAGATGAAGATGGATGGATGGATGGATTTACAACCTGAAGAGGTGATAAAGTGATAGATCTTTTAGCCCAATTCTACTTTTTCTGCATAATCCATCATACAAAATGTAATCAGATGGAAAAGTCTCTTTTTAAAACTTGTTTATTAGTTT